TTTAGCTTTTAGCTATTGTTTTGCTTATTTCAGCTTTAGCTACTGTTTTGCCGACTTTAGCTTTCAGGTATTGTTTTGCTAACTTTAGCTATAAGCTATTTTTATCTCATTTCAGCTTTAGCTACTGTTTGCTAACGTTTGCTTTCAGCTATTCTTTTGCTAGTTTCAGCATTTAGCTATTAAACTGCTACTTTTAGCTTTTAGCTATTGTTTTACAAGTTTCAGCTTTTAGCTACTGTTTTCTAATATAAGCTTTTAGCTGCTGTTTTGCTAACTTTAGCTATAAGCTATTTTTATCTCATTTCAGCTTTAGCTACTGTTTGCTAACGTTTGCTTTCAGCTATTCTTTTGCTAGTTTCAGCATTTAGCTATTAAACTGCTACTTTTAGCTTTTAGCTATTGTTTTACAAGTTTCAGCTTTTAGCTACTGTTTTCTAATATAAGCTTTTAGCTGCTGTTTTGCTAACTTTGGGTTTTAATTATTGCTTTGCTAGTTTCAGCATTTAGCTCTTGTTMTGCAAATTTTTGCTTTTGCATATTGTTTTGCTAGTTTCTGCTTTTAGCTACAAATTTGCTAATATTATTTTTAGCTACTTTTGCTAGTTTCCAGCTTTTAGCTAATGTTCAGCTCTTTTTTAGGAATTATTCTGCTGGTTATAGCTTTCATCATTTGTTTTGCTAATTTTAGCTTTTGCTCTGTGTGTTTTTAACCTCAACAGTTCTGCTTTAGCTGCTTCATCAAATTTAGCTGTTCGTTGTTGCAGAAAACATGAAACTTTCTAGTTTTAGCTTTCTATCCTACCTCCATTTTTAACCCCCCAAGCCTTTTTAAGGTGTTTTTTTTTAAGTTCATGCACACTTGAAAGAGCCAAAACAGCTCCACAGCTGTAAGGTCAAACTGAAGATCTGTGGGGTTTCGGCTGATAAGAGCCACTTTGGAGAGACAGAAACTGCAGATCTCAAGGACAGAGTGAGATTTGAACAGTTTTCTGCCTGTTTTTCACTCTGCTGTAAAATTGTGCCGCTGCAGCAGAAATGAAGCAAAACATTTAGTCTCAGCAGCTTTTTAAGAATTAGTCTGAAACTGCATCATTTTCACTATTTTGTCCACAAGTTTTGTTATTGTTGTTGTTGTTTTGCCCACATCTTTAAAGAAACAACATGCAAATTATAGTTTTTTATGTACTTTATTAATCCCCAGTGGGAAAATGACTTCTCTGCATTTTTCCCATCACACCTTTGWGCACACATGGAGCAGTGGGCTGCCATCTAGCTCACCCAGGGAGCAGCTGGGTGGATGAGGGGCACATGAGGATAGAGGCAGGAGTGGGTGCTTCACCTTCACCACCTGAAGTATTAGTGCCACTCACTGGATTTGTACCTGCGACTGCTTGATCACATTTTCTCTAACCTCTGCACCAACACTCCCCCGACATCAAAACATGCCGCTCAGTTGGGAGTTTATACACTGTTATTGTGTTATTTTGTAAATCGTAGAGCAGGAAATCACAAACAAGCTGCCAAGTAAAACAGCAGGATTTTGGTGGAACTTTTTAAAGTTTTTAGGGGATTATTTCACAGAAAATGCTCACTGGGCAGCTGATGTTCAAAACTTTGAGCCRTAGCTGCAAAACCTTTCCTGAAAAATTCTGTTTATGCAGTTCTGAATGAACGTGAGCTCGTTTGCTCTTGGGTTAACGCCACACACGCTGTGATATTGGGCCAAAAAAATCAAACATGTTGAATATCCCCGATTTGAGGTCGGACCGGTCCCGACATCCTTCTGATCCGACTAGATCATTCTTAACTCCCCGTCAACGACAGAAATATCTGCTATGATTATCTTTAGAGCCATCACAATAATCTGGACGTCCTTCAGATTGTCAGAAGGGCCAGAATTCCTATTTACAAAAAGGGTGAGAAATKTATATTTAGTAATTACAGACCAATATCCTTATTACCACAGTTTTCAAAAATCTTGGAGAAGTTATTTGTGATCAAAATTAATCAGTTCATCGATAATAATATTTTAAGTAGCAGTCAATATGGATTTAGAGCCAATAACTCTACATCATTGGCTCTTATGGAGCTGATAGAACAAATAGCAAATGCTATTGATCAAAAACAATATTGCACCAGTATTTATGTTGGACACTAGAGGCGCTACAGTTCTCCTAAATTTGCCTTGTTTTTTGAAAACAAGGATGTTATACAGGCGMGCTTGTAATTATTAACTAAATCTTSGGGATGGACCTTTTGGTTTATAAAAAATGGCAGAAAAGGTCCATATCGTGTCWTCAGCTCTTTMAATAAWGCATTTGACACGACTGACCACAGCATTCTACTTGAAAAAGTAAATAAATATGGGATTAAAGGACCAGCATTACAATGGATATCTAGTTATTTGGAAAATAGGAAACAGTTTGTACAAGTACAYGATGTAAAGTCTGAACTCTGTGGAATCACATGTGGAGTTCCTCAGGGTTCTGTACTTGGACCAAAGTTATTTATCTTRTATTTGAATGACTTCGTTAATGTGTCAGGGCTTTTCAAAAGTGAATGGTTTTAAGAACAAGGTTGTCTCAGGAGTACAGATCAAATAATTCTGTTTCCTTTAGGACACTGGATGTTAAACTAAAACATGACTCAGATTCTGACAATAAACACTCGGACAAAACCGGAAACGACAACCACCTCGGCAAACAAAGACATGCGGACGAACACAGGACTGATGCAGAGCAGCTGGAGCAGCTCCGACGGCTTCAGGAAACCAGGGAGGAGAAACGGAGGCCCGCAGAGGAACCCGACGTGGACGACAAGAGACACGAGGAAGACCTGCGGGGCGGAAAACCCAAATCGGACCCAACGAAAGAAGACCTGAAGAAAACGAGGCCCGCTGAGCCGCTCAGGAGGAAGAACMTCCTCGAGGAGATGAAGAAGCGTGACGACCTGAAGAAGGACAGGAACAGAGAGGAACGCAGACACGAGAAACCTCAGCAACAGAGGACCCCGAGTGAGACAAAGACGGAGAGACCTCCGCGAGACAGGACCCCGAATGAGACAGAGAGACCCCAGCGAGACAGGACCGTGAGTGAGACAAAGAAGGAGAGACCCCAGCGAGACAGGACCCTGAGTGAGACAGAGAGACCCCAACGAGACAGGACCGTGAGTGAGACAAAGAAAGAGAGAACCCAGCGAGACAGGACCCTAAGTGAGACAGAGAGACCCCAGCGAGACAGGACCCTGAGTGAGACAGAGAGACCCCAGCGAGACAGGACCCTGAGTGAGACAGAGAAGGAGAGACCCCAGCGAGACAGGACCCTGAGTGAGACAGAGAGACCCCAGCGAGACAGGACCCTGAGTGAGACAAAGAAGGAGAGACCCCAGCGAGACAGGACCCTGAGTGAGACAGAGAGACCCCAGCGAGACAGGACCGTGAGTGAGACAAAGACAGAGAGAACCCAGCGAGACAGGACCCTAAGTGAGACAGAGAGACCCCAGCGAGACAGGACCCTGAGTGAGACAGAGAGACCCCAGAAAGACAGGACCCCATGTGAGACAAAGACAGAGAGACCCCAGCGAGACAGGACCCTGAGTGAGACAGAGAGACCCCAACGAGACAGGACCGTGAG